TTACTGGAGTCACAGACAGTTGTGAACTGCCATATGGGTGCTGGGAATTGAACCTGGGTCCTCTGAAGGAGCAGTCAGTGCTCTTAACTGCTGAACCATCTGTAGGTGGAAACTACTCATTCGTTTCCTGGCCACCTAGACCTAAAAATCACACAGAAACTATTAATTACAATACTGTTCAGCCAATAGCTTAGGCATATGTTGAGATAGGAGCCGCAGGGCTGCATCCCCGGCACCCGGCCGCCCGCATGGCTAGCTTATGCCCAGAAATAATTACACGGAAACTGTATTCTTTCAAACACTGCCTGGCCCGGCTTGTTCCAGCTTCTTATTGGCTAGCTCTTACATATTGTTCTAACCCATTTCTAATATTCTATGTAGCCCATGAGCTGGCTTACCAGGGAGGATCTTAACCTGCGTCTGTCTGGAGCGGGAGAATCATGGCGACTCCTCGACTCAGCTTCTTTTTCCCAGCATTCTCTTCTGTCTACTCCGCCTACCTAATTTTCTGTCCTATGAGGGCCGAGGCAGTTTCTTTATTATTACAAGACCCACCTCCATCAGGCATATTCCTGGCTAATTCTTAGATCTTAATTAACCCATTTCTATTAATCTGTGTGTTAGCACAAGCCTGTGGTGTACTGGTAAGGATCCAGATTCTGTCTCCTTTGGCAGCTACATGGTGTCTCTCTGATTCCACTTACTTTCTCTCTATATATCTCTGTTTGGATTTCCTGTCTGGCTTTACTCTGCTAAGCCACTGGCTGAAACAGCTTTATTTATTAGTCAATAAAAGCAACACATACACAGAAGGACTTCCTACATCAACCATATCTCCAGTCTCCTCCATAGTGACAGTTAATTAACATTCTTACCAGCAATGCATTGTTACATTTGCCATACATCCTAATCAACATTTGCTATTTAAATTTTCTTGTGAATAGCCATTCTGCCTGGAATGAGATGGAATCCCACTGTAACTATAATTTATGTAACTTTGCATTTCCTTGGTAGTTAAGAATGCTGAACATTATTTATAATCTGTGTAGTTCTTCATTTGAGACAGTTTCTCTCTGTGTTGCTCACTTATTCTTGAACTGAGATCAGCTGATCTTTCTGCTTCCTCAGCCTTCTCAGTGCTGGGATTACAAGTGTGTACCACCACTCTTGGCTGCAAATGCCTTCTTTTATCTTGTGTTTTCTTGTATATACTATATTGTCTGTCTGGAATATCTTCATCTAAATCATTCTGTCAAGATTGAGCTCTCATACCTTTTAGGCCAGTCATGGTAACACACCTTTAATGACAGCATTGAGAAGAAGAGACAGGTCAAGTTCAAGGTCAGCCTGGTTCCACATAGTAAGCTCCAGGACAGCCAAGATTGCATAGTAAGAGGCTGTCTTAACACTGTTTCTGTCATAAGAGTACAACCTTCTTTTTTAAAAACTTTTTTATTACATTGTGTGTGCTTATGCACCCATTCACCCCATACTACTAATGTTAGGGGACACCTTGTAGGAGTTGATCTTTCTGTTCCATTATGTGGGTCCCGAGAATCAAACTCAAGTCTTTAGGCTTGGTGGCAAATGATTTTGTTGCCTGAAGTGTCTCTCTCTTCTTGAGGGTGTGGATATACTGTGTCTCTGGTCCATCTTTGTATTTGTAGTGCTCAGCAAATAAGTGATGAATAAATTTTTCATAGATTGTGGACTGGGCATTGTGTTTAAGATTAGAGTCTCATTTTCTAGCCTCTCTGGTCTTCAATTTATAGGTCTTCTGCCTTGATTCTACATTATTGGTGTTATAGGTGTGTACCTTCATACTTTACATTTTTTAAAGCTTTTTCTCTAATGAGAATAATTTCTAATTAATCTAAGTCTTGGTTTTGTTAAGAAAATTTTAAATACAAAAATTCATACAATATGTTAAACCATGAATTAATTTTAGAGTTTCAGAGAACTGCGTATTAGTTAAAAAGTGACTTTTAGCAAGAGTTAGGTAGCCACTCACTGGAAATTAAGTAGCTGTTAATGGGAAGGTATACCTTTATTCCATTAAGAGCAGGGGTCATGTTTAAACTCTAATATAGTTATAGAAATGTGGTAAATATTTTTAAAATTCAAAGAAAAGCATGCATACTTTTGAGAAAGAAATGGCATTCTGGATTCTTTAAGAACCAGTTGCTTGAAAACTTCCTAATTGTTTTAGTGCAATGTGAATTTTGTGAATTCACAAACATTGTATCTACATGTCATATGCAAAGCCTGATGCTTAAACTGAAGGGAGACTTAGAGATCTAAGAAGCCTTATGCTCTTTTCATAGGCCTTCAGAAGTAAAAGTCCTTGATTTGAAATGGGTTTACTTTGGAAAGAGAAGTTAAACTCTGATCCCATAGTAAAGAGACACTGTCCAGTCTCTTATTTTGCAAATAATTTCTATAAACAGTAGCTCTAGTCATATATTGTTATTACGTTGTTAAATTGGGTCAATAAATGCTTTATTTGTGTCTGTGTTTTTTGGCAGCAGAGGGCAAATAGGTCAGTTGGTTTTTGAAACAGGGATTCATTATATAGCTCAGGCCAGCCTTGAGTTTGAGGTCTTCCTGGCTTGCTTTTTTTAAAATTCTAAATTATTGAAACCTCTAACTTTAATAAATAGGCTATATTACGGTGGAGAGGGAATTATATAATAGTTTGCACCAATGTGAAGAAAGTGAAGATCGTTCTACTCCTGTCACCTTTAAGGTGCAATGCTTACTAATGCAACCTTCTCAGGTATAGACCTCTGTCCCTCAGTAGTCTTTCTTATTATAACATTTTTTGAACCCTCTTTTAGCTAATACGTCTTAGAGACACAACAGTCTTCATGAGGAATAGAATATAGATGTTTTGTGTTACAATAAGCTAAGTTCATTGCTCAAGTTGAGTATCTCTCACCCAGAATGCTTAGGCCAGAATATCTTTACATTTTCAAAATTTTGCATATATTTAAAAGAAGACTAAATCCCAAACATTGTATTTCACGTTTGGGATTTAGTTTTCTTTTAAATATATGCACGCGTGCGTGTGTGTGTGCTAAATGATAGTTATATATGTCAAATAATTTTGAGCATGGAACAATTGTATATAGTTTATCACTTGACATGTCAACATTCAAAATTTGGAGTTTTAGAGAATTTTGGATTTTAGATTTTCATATTACTGAATCTCAGCCTATAGTGCTTATACTTTAATAGGAGCCTTAGACTCAAATTGACTTGAATTCTATTTCTAGATGTTTGGGAAATGATGTGGTTTACTGCTAAGGGACTTTGTATAATACTGGAGTCCTCTAGGGCTAATTTAATATAGTCTGCAGTTTTTATATTTGTGTGACTATGTAAGAATAAAAATTCTGTAGGTTGTAATGTTTAAATGAGATACTAGATCTTAAAACAAGTTCATAACTGATTATTCATTTTTGCAATATTTATTTTGATAGTATTTTTTAATTTTGTCAATATTTGTCTGTATCAAAAATCAGAAGACCACAGAATAAAGTAATGTGACCAAAAATTGCAGCAAAGTTTTCTACACATTTAAATTAAGACAGTTGAGAAGAAATAATGCTTATTCTTATTACCTTATATAGTAAATTAAGATATGATACATGTCATGATAAGGAGGAAAAATTAGGCATGATAAAGGGTAGTATATAGATGGAAAGTTGGTGGATGACTTGGAGAAGGAAGACTGAACACAGAGATGGTGGGGGAAGAACATTCCACCCTGAGGACATAGCAGTAACGATAAGACTAACACATAGGAAGTGTCTGAGTACTCTGATGTATTTACCTACATAAGCCTTACTGTGTTAGAAGTAGGCTCAGTGAGGCCTGGTGGCACAGCCCTATAAATCCCAACTACTAAGACTAAGGCAAGAGGATAAAAGTTTCAAAGCTGCCTGAGTTCAGGGTCAGCCTGAGCAATATAAACATAGTAAGACCCTGTCTTAAAAAGCAAAAAGAGGACTGGAGATATAGCCCAGTCATAGAGTAATGTTTGAGTGTGGTGTCACACCCCTGTAATACTAACCTTCAAGCAGTGGCAGGCAAGTCTTTGTGAGTTCTAGGCCAGCCTTGTCAACATCACAAGTTTTAGGCTAGCCAAGACTATATAATGAGATCCTGCTGAAAAAATATACCAAAAAAATAGGGCAGGGGCAGGAAACCTATTCTACCATTTTGTAGATGAGGAAGTTGAAGTATAGAGAGGTACTAAGTCTAAAAACTGAACCCTGATCCATCTTCTTGGGAAATACTATATATACCAATATTGCTATGTGTGTGTGTGTTTAAAAATTCTATATTAGAAGATAACAATTTGATTTTTACCAACTTGCCAAAGGAGTTCATACATAGTATACAAAACTTAAAGCAATGAAGATTATTGGGGTTGCTCTGATAAAAGTAGACTAGAGAGAAAGATGCAAGAGAGGAAGAGAGAGGGCCAGAAGATGGCCCAGTGGTTAAGAGCACTTGCTTACTCTTAAAAAGAACTTAGGTTCTATTCCTAGTACCTGCTTGGCGGCTTACAACTGTCATTAACGCGATCTGATGCCATTCTCCTACCTCCTGGGCTCCTACACACACGTCGTGTACATAACACTCAGGTGTGCATGCACACACATACACATAAAATACTTTTAAAAAGAAGAGCAAGGGAGATAATGTATTAGGAGGCATTTGCAGTGGTCTCAGAGAGAGAATGACAAATTGGACAGAATTACAGAGATGATAATAAAAGGTAGTAAGATGTTGGATGAGTGAATGTATACTACATGAAAACATGGCCCCAGGTTTTATATCTGTGCAAATGGAAGGATGGATCAACCATTTATAAGATGGAGTTGGAGTATGTTTGTTGAAGATCAGAAAATGCAGTTTTGGGTGAAAGTGTGAGAGAGTTTAATATACAGGCAGTTGGAAACAAGAAAAAGTGTTGGTTTTTTTTTTTGTAGACTATGAGAAGACAACGAAATGAAGTTGTAGTTGAATTAAGGAAGGTAAGTATGGTTTACTATTGATATTTTGAGAAATAGTTCTGATAACATATATAGAAAATATTACATTATATCTTTTGTAAAATATACAGTCTGTTCTATAATGAAATTTTATTTATTGAATATAGTTTTTTCAGTCTCAAGTGCTTAGATTTCTTTCCCCCCAACAAATTTTTTTTAATTAATTAATTTATTTATTTATTAAAGATTTCTGCCTCCTCCCCGCCACCGCCTCCCATTCCCAACAAATTTTTTAACTAAGCCTAGAGAGCTGTTGAAAAGTGGGCAAGTTATACCTTGCCCACTTTCCGTTAATGGATATGAACAAGTTTATTTTTTTAACTTTTAATGATTTATGTAAAGTATAAGCCATAGTGAATCACCCAGCTTTTGCTTTGACTCTGCTTTTAGGTAATAAAGAGTCACTTCCAGATGATGTATAAATGGTTTGTTACTTTTGAGTGTGTTGTGTTTCATTCTGGCTTAAGCTGTACACTAGCCATTTTAGTAAAACCATTTTGTTTTGACAATAGGATTGTCAATTGTTCGTGATTAGGATCAGTGCTTATTTCACAACTTGCTTTAATTTTTTTGAATTTGTTTTCACATTTAAAAGGCGCTTTATTATTTTAGTTTGTAGGCACAGGATTGCTTAACTTTTATATGAAAATTAACTGTTTTTCTTATGTGAAATTCTTCTTTAAAGAATAAAAGAGATGAACATCTCTTAAAGAGAAGAAATGTGCCGCATGAAGATATCTGTGAAGACTCTGATATAGATGGTGATTTTAGAGTAGTAAGTTATGTTATTTTGGTAATCTAAAACTTCCAACGGAAGAGTTTATAAAGAGAACATTTAAAGATGACCTTTTAACTTTGTTTTCTCTTTAATTTCTTGCCAGCAAAATACCTCTCTAGAAGCTATTGTTCAAGTAAGTTGGGTTTTATTCACCTCTCTTTGTACTTTCTGGACTAAACAACTAATTACTGTGTATTCATGTGATAAATTGTTTTACTTTTTTTATAGAATGCTTCAAGTGATAACCAAGGAATTCAATTAAGTGCAGTACAAGCTGCTAGGTGAGTTAAATGCTCAAATGCAAGTTCTTCAGACCCCTCCTTTAGGTGACCAAAGTGCTTATATTAGTCAAAACAGTAAATTGAGTTATAAGCATAATGTATCGTGTATAACAAGTATACATTAAATATATATTGCTGCATATACACTAGTGTTTTTCTAAGACAAAAATACCAAGTTATTTTGTACATTTCAGTTGTGAAACTTGTGTTGTCATATTTTTAGGAAAAAGCCAGAAAAACTTAGTGAGGAACTGAGGAGATAGCTCAACCTGGAAAGTGCTTGCTGTGCAAGCTCGAGGACCCATGTTAAGTCCCCAGATCCCATGTAAAAAGCTGAACATGTAGCTGGCCTGTAATGCTAGCGCTGGAAGTGGAGAATAGAACTATCCTTGGGGCTCCCCTGGCCAGGCAGCATAGCTGATTGGTGAGCCCTGGGCCAGTGAGAAACCCTGTCTCAAAAAACAAGGTGGGTAGCTCCTGAGGAATCGATTCTGAGGTTGCACTTCTGGTTTTCACTTTTTTTGGGCATGTACACATACATGAGCACACACACACACATATATACCCAATTTATTATTGAGAAAGATCTTTGAATTAACTAGTATGTTGAGGAAGACATGGTTGTGTTATAACATAATGGTTGCTTTGTATATTTATAGATATAGAAGGATTGTTCAAACAAAAAATATTTAAACAAGATACTGTTTGTAGTTGATAAGATTTTAAAGTGCAGAGAATTTTCACAGATTTGTGCAATATCTTATCAAGTGTGTGAATCTTTTATATTTTATTACATGTCCTGCTTATGTGTATTTACCTTAACTAAGACAAATGGGAAAAATGTAGCACCGCTACATTATTGTATCCCATAGGCTAAAAAACTGCTTACAGTTTGGTACAAGTTAGATTACGTTCTGAAACAGCAAGTTCATGTTTGTAGGAAAGGTGATTAAGGTACGACTTTGAACTGGGTTCCAGAGAAATCCTGAGACAATTTCAGGGATATATAAGAGCAAACTGGTTTCAAGATAATTTTAGTACTTATTATTTACCTTTTTTTTTCTTCACTATGTTAGCAATGTTTTTGCAAAAGGAACTACAGATAAAACTATTGAGCCTTAACACAAATCAAGACCCTGGCACCAAAGTGCTTTTTTGTAGGTATTGTACTCTTTATTATGAAATGAGAAAAGGAGGGTGTGGAGAGATGGCTCAGTGGTTAAGAGCATTTGCTGCTGTTGCAGAAGACCTGGGTTCAGTTTCCAGCGCCCACAGCTCACATGGTAGCTCACAACTGTTTATAACTCTAATTGTAGATGACCCCCTTGGGTACAAGACACACATGCAAGCAAAACATTCATATACATAAAATAATTTTTTTAAAAAATTAAATAAGATAAAAGCCCCTGATTTTTATTTACAGTTTTGCTAAGTACTGTGCTACGAATTATGGACAATACTGTGAAAATACTATGCAATATTCTTGATTTTAATAGAATATTTTTATCCTTTATAGGAAAATTTCTTACATGCCTACAATGTATTTTGACCATATCTACCTCCTTTCTCTCACTTCCCTGACTCTCCCTCAACAGATTCCCCTTTCTAACTTCATGTCCTCCCTTTTAAAAAAGTTCCTTTAACCAACCTACTAAGACCAATTAGTGCTTCCCATCCACTGGGGCTTGGGCAACCTACCAGTAGCCACACCTCCAAAGAGAAATGACTCTCAAACACCGTCAGCTGCCACTAGGAGTGAGGTCTTGTGGAACCCCTCCCTCATCCAATGCTGAAAAAGCTTGGTCTTGTGAAGGTAACCATGCCTGTTTGTGAGTTCATGAGTGCCATGGCCATGCTAGGTCCTGAAGACTTGGTCTTCCAGCTCTTACATACTTTGCCTGCTTCTGTGATGTGTACTGCTCCTTGAAGGGAGAGCATGTTAATACAAATATCCCATTTTGCGCTGAATACTCAACAGTTGTTTATTCTTAGTACTTTGACCAGTTATAGGTCTCTGTATTAATCATTACAAAAATATTTATGACCAAGCACAAATCGATAACTATATACATTAATATTTAGAAGGCAGTTTGGCTACATGATGATTTAGCTAAACTACAATTGTATATTTACCCCTAAGGACTATCACCTCCCTAACTTTTGACCAGGTCTACAGTTCCTATATGAATTCCCTTCTGTGGAACAGAAACAGGAAAGCCCTTTAGGTTGCCCTTGTTAACAGTCAGGCCACCTTTGCATCAGTGGGTTCTTCTTTCCTGGCATGTCAGTATTGTCCCCTGCTGATCCAACACTGATTACAATGTTTGGTGTCTGTTCTCCCCCCCCCCCCACCCTGCTCACCTCTCTCCCCAGAGGCCTACATTGCCCTTCCCATGCTATGAAAACTAGCTAATACAGAGGTAGCTTCTGGGTCAGTTTCAGATTGATTTATGTCCTGCTAGTATGTAAATTTCTCTTTAAGAAGTTTAGATTCTGGTCTGAAGCTATATATAGCTCAGTTGGTAGAATGCTTGCCTAGTTTGTTTGTTTGTTTGTTTATTTATTTTTTGCTTGCCTAGTATGTACAGACTATCAAGTCTGTATACCTAGCTCTGCATAAAGGTGGTATATTTTCACACACCTGTAATCACAGTTTGAGAGGTAGAAGCAGGAGGATCAGAAATATATGATCATCTTTAGCCACATAGAAAGTTTGAAGCTAGCCTTGGATATATGACAACTGTCTTTAAAAAAAAGAAAAAGAAAAAACAGTAGTAGTGGTGGTAGTAGTAGTAGTAGTAGTAGTAGTAGTAGTAGTAGTAGTAGTAGTAGTAATTGTTTAAAATTTAATAGGGAATAGGCACCCAGTAGCAAATGTGGGACTATGCTGTACACATAACCTTAGAATTGAGAGGTGTTACGGAATCTGAAATAAATAGATGGCTAGCCATTCTGAGCAAGGAGAGTAGGATACAGAGTGTTTAGAGATGAGATCACAGTGGTACCAGGCTCCAGTTAGGAAAGGTGTAGCCTCCTTATGGAGCAGTTGAAAGGTAAGAGAAGGAGTTTTATATTCATAAGATAGTGAATAAATAAGTGTGCCTTATATGGGGACAGTTTATATAGGTTGATGCTCTGACTAGCATTTTTTTCTTTTGGTTTTGGTTTTTCGAGATAGGGTTTTTTCTGTGTAACTACCCTGCTTGTCCTGGAACTTGCTTTGTAGACTAGGCTAACCTTGAATTCACAGGGATCCACCTGCCTCTGGTTCCTGAGTGCTGGAATTAAAGGCCTGGGCGGACACCACCTGGCTCTGACTAGACTTTCTTAAACCTTATCTTTATGTAGTTGTACAGCAAATTCCAATAAGGAGAAGATTTATGTTAATGTTGTTGGGCTTTCATGATATTTAATAATATATAGAATGGGATATACATTGTGATCACTTCTGATATGCCTAATTTTTAGGTATTTTGAAAACCTATTAATTCCTTTTCTCTAAGTGTAAAATTAACTCCGAACATAACACATGTAAAAATATTTAGTTGGACCACACCTTAAATGCCAGCATTAAGGAGGCAGAAGCCAGGACTACATAGTAAGAACCTGTCTTTTTAGGGGAAAAAAAATTTGGTTGCCTTTTTAGTTGCCATATTCCTAACTGATGAGGGAATAGTGTTGTATTAATAAAAGTACCAAAATGTCTACCATAGTTTTCCAATTAATGGTCCTATTTGTAGATTTAATTTAACTATCTTTTCATGAGTAGAGAAAATATTGCATTATATGAAGTATAAGAAGTAACTTTCAAAGTATATACTTACACATCTCTTCAGATTATACTCTATGTGAATGTGAACTTAATTGTAATAATATATGACATCAAGTTTTACAAGAGGTATCTATTTTACAGGAAACTTTTGTCCAGTGATCGAAATCCACCAATTGATGACTTAATAAAATCTGGAATATTGCCTATTTTAGTTCATTGTCTTGAAAGAGATGACAAGTAAGTATATAATTATTATTTTAAATTAGACCATGTTCTTTGGAAATGGTAGGTTTTCTAGCTTAATCTTAAAAGAAGAAGATTCTTTTAAGGTAGAGGCAGGAGGGTCAGAAGTTCAAAGTGATCCTTGGCTATATACATAATGAGTTTAGGGACAATCTGGGCTAGAGACCCTGAATCAGAAACAAAAACCAGACATGATGATATATGCTTATAATCTGAGACCTTGACGTTTCAGTTCAAGACCAGCCTGGGCTTTTTAGAGAGAGGTTTTCTTAGAAGAAAGAAAGAGAGAGAGAGAGAGAGAGAGAGAGAGAGAGAGAGAGAGAGAGAGGG